ATTACAATGGGTTATATTAGGGTACTCACATTATGGATTAATTTATCATTGTACTCAACAAATATTGGACACTTCTACGATTGTTTTGTACATGTTGTATTTTTTTAATAGGTGCGGTTTGTATAGAGCCTAGGCTCTAAACAATCAAATTAGAGCCTACCTTCAAATAGTGTCGAGAAATGTAGCTTCAATATTGAAAATATTTGAGATAGCCTTAAAATATTTTTTCATTCTTATTTGTAAAGTTTAAAACTTAAAAAATAGTGTAGATAAATACATTTATGAAACCTTGAAAATCTTAAAAATTGACAGTAAAAAAATGCATGACTAAATACGCTATTTCTTTTAGAATTTATCAGACCCATATCTTAACCCCAAGATTTATTTTGGCATATCCCATACTACCCAACCCTTAGGCTATTCAAGATGAGATAGAGACTTAGGAGGTGACCTAGGACTAGGGCATGCCCCTCTAGAGATAGGCTAGGAGAGAGAGAGAGGTCTAGAGAGAGAGAGATGCTTTAGAGGGAAGAGAGAAAGTCTAGAGAGGGAGGAGAGAGAGTGGGGCGTGCCCCTTAGAGAAAGAGATAAGAGAGAGCGAAGAGAGATGTATAGAGAATAGGGGGGTACACCCCTATTTATAGTGCAAAAATGAGTTTAGGGTTTCTTAGGGTTTCCCATAGTTTGCCTCTTAACTGAGATTGAATGTAGACCATTGATCAAGGGTAACTTGTGAGGTGAGAAATCTAAGCTATCTATCCCATAGATGAGCCATTAACATTATGGAAGGTGCATGAACTATTATCCCCTTTTTTTAAACCATTTTTCCATCAATAGAAATTAAGTTAAGCTAAATTGAATATTATGCATACCATAAAATAGTATAATCCTTCTCATACTTTCACAAAATCTTTCAAAGATATATCAAGTCTTCAATATTTAGTTAATATACGATCAATATATTTGCAAGTCACATTTGATCACATGTCACAATTGACAATTACCATAACATAAAGTCACATGGACCACAAAACATAATCTTTGCATGAAATAGAAAGTGGTAAGAGGTGGGGCATGCCAGTTCAAGGAAGGCATGCATGGGCCCCACCTTCTAGAACATGGCGGGCCCATGTACACAATGGGACCCTATGAAATTTTATTTTATATTTAAAAATAATAAAAATAATAAAAATAATTTTAGAATATTTACTTGAATATTTAAACCATTGTAAATCTATTGTAAATTCAATATCTTTAATTTTACAAATCCAAATTTCAAAATAAATATCCAGACATTCATAAAAATTCAAATAATAATTCTATAAAACAAACATATTTAAATTAATTTGATGGGAAATGTATCCATATGGCTTAGGAATTAAATCAACAATCATGGGGCACTACACCTTCAACTGTGGACTACATACCACACTTGCTTTATCGAACCGACCAAGTATTTCCCATGACCCACAATCCAAGCAGTGGCTCATTAGCGGGTCACCAAAGTTTGGCCGATGAGCCAAGGGGTCGCAATCCCAGTTTGTGGATTCCAGGTCCTCCCTTAGAGACGAGTCAAGGTTACATAGAGCTGATGCGACTACAGCTCCTATGGTGCATAAGAGTATCTCTCACACATACATACATTTTACCCTTAAAGGTATATTGCTTTTTCGAAACGGTCTATTAATATGCATGCCGTGTGATGGTACATGGATGAGGCTTTAACCCCCATCTCTGTAGGCCACCATCACACACAAGGGTCACACAGTCCCTCGGCTCACTGGGCATACTTCGACCTCATCAAGGGGTGACCCATTAGAACCTTTATCGATTGATATTCTATGATCAAGTAACGCGGGTTTTTTTCAACCGACTGGCCTAGATCATCAAGCATAGTTCGGTATCAGCAAATATCGTTTGCTTAGTAAGGTCCACGAGGGATCACACTCCCACTGAGTTCATGTTTCACTATATTATTTCATTTTACAACCACTCATAAGACCTTTAAAACCCCCATAAACCTATCAGTTAGTTCCCCATCAGATATGTTGTGTAGGAAAGACGCGTGAACATCTAAGTGCCCTCTATAGCCATCTAAGCTTCTAAGTCATAAAGGTTTTGATGAGGTATTTCATGGAGAGTAGTGGGAGAGGATGGAAGGGCCATGGATATTGAATCTATGATCCAATCGTCTACTTGGAAAACATGCAACTGAATGTATTCTTCGCAACGAATACTTTACTCAAAAGGAAATACCACAAGCAACCAAACACAATATGTTCCCTTATTTTTGACACATGGTTAGTTGAAATTCTTTTTAAGTTAAGAATTTGATGAGAGAACTCATAAGGATTTTATGAAATATTTGTACGTCTTCTTTCTATGCTTTTAATGGATAATTATGGGGATTCGAACCAGAATATCATGGGGCTTGGAGATGCAGAGGGCTTTTCTTTACTCATGGTGGGTGCAAGTTTCAAATGATGGCATTGACCTGTCCAACTTGGCTTTTGGGCACAGCCCAACTTACCAATGTTGCCCCTATCATAATATTTGATATGAACAACTTAAATCTATGTAAGTCACTATGAAAGGATTTTATCTTCTAGAGTTATATAATTCTATCTTGTCAATTGCAGGAACTCAAGAAGCGTAACATATTCTCTCCACAGCCCTTGATCCCTAACTTCTTGATCACATGAATAAACATATGCGGTAGTAGTAGTACTATTAAAATAATGAAATATAATTTTATATTTTCTCCTTATTTGTCATAATATTCAATAAAACGGTTGATAAACCACTAACCGCTTACTTTATATAGGATAATATTTATCGAAATCAATGCATACATACATACTATGTTTTTATTTTTTCCCTTTTTTTTTGTCATCACGCATGTTGTACTTTCATGAAATCAAATAATATATATTTATTGTTATGTAGTGCAATGTTTATCTGCGACAATAATTGTCGTAGTTGTCGCGTACATTCAACATATGTTCAAAATTTATAATGATATTACATAATAGGAAATTAGTGTTCAAATGCATATCCAAAATTTGTAGTGACTATGTAATAACAGGAAAAGGGTCGTAACCCTAGACACCACTCAATTCGTAAGAGTTATTTGTACAACACTACTCAATTCGTAAGAGTTCTTTGAACAAATATCTATCTAAAGCATGTTCCCATGCTCATCTGAAATTGATGCAAAAAGTATATCAACATATGCAATTCGAACAATCTCAGAATTCAAAAACAAATATTTCATAAGACAATTCTACACCAAAAATATTGATCAATTAAGAGAAATAGAATATACTTCCAAATTTTGTTGGTCAATGAAAAAATAACTGATCGTTGTAGTACTTACGAACGCCAAATCATTGTCATCTACACAAGTTTTTCTCACATAAAACTCTAAAATTCATTATTCTGCTTTCAGTTGAGATACGCCATTGACAAATATTATTCCTTCATCATAAAACTAATTCTTCAATGACAATATCCCTTATCACTCAGAGAGATGAGACCCTTTGCACAGGGATATAGATAATAGAATATATCCATCAGCTTCTGAGGATACCTCATGTAATATTGACAATGACAATGGTATGAACTCCAAATTATTGTCATTCTAGACAAATATTTCTCACATATTTTTTGGAGAAAAAAAACTTCTAAAATTCTTTCATTTCAGATACACCATTGACCATTGCTATTCTTTTCTCATCAAACCAAATCTTCAATGATAATATCCTTTACCACTCAGAGAGAAGCGATCACTTGC